ACATATGGATCTCTTCCAGTCAGTTGGCCACGTGGTTGTCCTCCAGATTTCTTGGAACAGCTTGGTGAGCACATCCAAGTCAACGTCTGCTTTTTAAAATATGTCCATTGTTATGTATCCCTGGAGCCTTGTTTTTTGCCAATTCCTTCAGAGCACTTTGAACCTGTTCCTTCATCACCACAGGCTTTTAATTTTACATTGTTTCATGAAATTAATATGTGTCAGCCAATTCTTTTTGGTATAATGACTCTGTATACTCCTTCCATCTTCTTTTAGTGCTTCCTGGCTCATTTAATATTCTTCCCAAAGCATCCTTCGTATTGTAACTTAAGGCTTGCATTCGTTCTTCAGTTCCTTCGGCTTACGACGTACTGAACAAATTTGTCCCTTTTGATTTTCCAACTCCAGCTCTTTGTACGTTTCATTAGAATAGTTTGCTTTGTCTTCCTGTGCTACACTTTGAAATTTTCTATTCAGCTCCTTTATTTCATGATTTATTCCCTTTGCTTTGTCCTCTTGACCTTCTAATGCAGTATTCTGAAACTCATGACATCCGTCTTGGTCGTTTTTCCTCCTCTCTCTTTGTAATGACCATTTGCATTCTTCCTGGATGATACTCTTGATATTAATAATGCTAGGCCATGCCACTAGGGATATTATAGCCAGGTTAGATGGATCTTGGCTGAAAGCAGAGCGTACCAGAGGAATGTGTATCTGTGTTTCATTGATTATGCAAAGGCATTTGACTTTGTGGATTGCAGCAAACTGTGGCTAACTCTCAGAAGAATGGAAATCCCAAAACACTTGACATGAGTATGCAAAACTTATACTTGGACCAGGAGGCAGTCATCAGAACAAAGCAAGGAAACACTGCAAGGCTCAAAAATGGAAAAAGTTATGTGCCAGGGATGCATCCTGTCTCCATACGTTTTCAATCTATATGCACAGCAGATCACTCAGGAAGCTGGGCTCTGTGAGAAGGAATTCTCCGTCAGGATTGGAGAAAGACTCATCAACAATCTGCTTGCCAAAACTGAGGAAGACATGAGGCATTTGCTGCAAAAGGTGAAGGACTGCAGCCTTCAGTTTGAATTGAAGATCAACATTAAGAAAACAAAGATACTCCCCAGTGGGTAGATTAGCAGCATCATAATAGACTGTGAGGAGATTGAGATTATTAACAATTTCAGCTTGCTTGTCTCCGCAATCACTGCTCTTGGTACCAGCAGCCCGGAAATCAAGACAAATTGCATTGAGAATATCTGCTGTTAGGGACCTCTCCAGAGTACTGAGATGCAATGATGTCAGTTTAGGGACTAATGTGCTCCTGATCCAGGCCATGGTCTTTACAATTACTTGCTATGCATTAGAAAGATGGACAGATACTAAGGATAATAGAAGAAGATTTGATGCTTTTAAGTTGTGGTGCTGGAGAAAAGTGTTGAACATACTATGGACTGCTAGGAGAACAAGTCTGTCCTGGAGAGGGTGAAACCAATTTGCACTATGGAGGCAAGGATTTTGAAACTCTGTCTGACATACTTTTGGCATGTTGCAAGGAGGGACCAGTCCTTGGAGAAGGACATCATGCTTCTAAGGGTAGAGGGACAGTGAAAGAGAGGAAGACCCTTGATGAGATGGATTGACTCAGTGACTGGGGTAACAGGTGTTTCAGAGACAATGAGATTGGCTCAAGATAGAGCCGGGTTCACTCTGAATCATAAGCAACTTAACAGCATTTAATAACAACAAGCAGCTTTTGGTGGACAGTTTTGAAGGGTATAACATCTTTCCCAGCAGTTTTTTTTTCAGCCCTCTGTATGAGCAACCTCATTTTTGTCTTGCGTACATACTTTCTGCTAAGAAATTGTAGCTTAATCTAATTGGTTCTCCTTTGTAGGTGACTCTCTGTGTTTCTCATGCACTTTTAATATTGCATCCTTGTCTTTGATTTTTGGGAGTTTGACTTTGGTATGTCTTGATATTTTTCTTTTGGGGTCTAGTCTGTTTGGGGTTCGCTGAGTTTCTTGAATGTATTTCCTTGGGATATTTTAATGGTACCTGGGAAGTTTTCTTTTAGTACTTCTTCCAAAATTTTCCCAGTGTTTTTTTATCTTTTCCTATGTTTCATAAGAATTCCATTCACACATGTATTGTTTGATTTGATGTCATCCCACTCATGATTTTTAAATGGGGTTTTTTTTTCCTTTCTCTCTTCTCTGTTTTTCTAGTAGGTTCTCATTTAGGTTCTTGTCCTCTTTGTCACTGAGTCTGTATCACATCTCTTCTGTCCGCATTTATGTCTCTTTGACATGTTGACAGTTTTTTCCACCTTAGTCTTTTTTCCCCATTTCATTTTCATGTTTTTTTAATTGTTTCTAGAATCATGTTAGTTATGCCCTTTCTGTCTTGCATTGATTTTTTTAAAATTTGTCTGTCTCTTTACACATGGCTTCATCTCATGGTTGCATCATTAGAACTTCTTCAGCACCAATCTTGAAATTCCATGAAACTGTGTTCTTTCTGCCTTCCTGCCTATAGGGCCTCATTGAGTTCTTATTGCGGTCTAATTTTTTTTTTTTAAGGAGAAGGCTTGTTTTGCTTTTTCTTTGTTTTCAAACCTGACTGTGGTTTCCTTGACATGTGGGTTTCTTCTTGATAGGTGTAAGGTGGATTCTGTAGTACCAATGTGAGTACTTACCTCCTTGTTTTTATATCAGTTTCCTGAGTACAGTTTGCTCAGCAGGTCTCAGTTGCATCAGCAATGGCCGGGGGACTTCAGTCCAAGACCCACTACTCGCATGCTCTTGGACCAGAGCAGGAAATGTTAGATCAGCAGTAAAGGCTGTAGACTGGTTTTGGGGCCAGGAAACCTATGGTCTCCTTCTGAGTCTAGGGTCGGAGGTCAAAGAGCAGACTCCCAGTAGTGGTACTAGTGGCCTGATGTCTTCTGTAGGAGGCCTGTGACCCACACATTCCTGTGCTGGGACCTAGAGGGCAGTCTGAGTAGCAGAGGCTGCCAGCTGCCTGCAGGTGGCATTCACACTTCTGGGTCAGGGGAAGGTGGCTATGGTGTCTCATTTAATGTCTAGAGATGAAACTAAAAAAACAAAAAATTTGGTAGGTTTTCCCCCACCTACCCCAATAGAGATACCATGATCTTATGGGAGGAGGTTTCCCGTTTTTCTTCTATAGAACCACTGGTAGTTTAGAACTTCTAGAGAGGTACCATCTTTTGAGTTGGCAGCACAACTCCCTACAGACTATACCACCAGAACTCCCTTTAGAAGAGGAGTTAAGTAAAATACAAAGGATGCTGACTGTACAGTTTTTAAGCCGTTGGTTGCTAGCCAAAAGTTAGGTAAGCTTTATTAAATACTAAGTCAAAGAGCAGACTCCTCTGTAGGAGGAAAAGAAACAAAGTTCCTTCTATAAAGAGTACAGCCTGAGAACCATACAGGGCACTTCTACTGTGTCCTGTAGGTTTATTGTGAGTCAGAATCAATTTACTGTCAGTGGGTTGGGTTTGTTTTTTTTCCGTAGGTAAAAATACTACACTGTATCTAACCTATTTTTTCTAGTATTGCTATTAAAATAACTACCAATTATAAAAATGTCTGTAGTCTTACCTTCAAGAAGAGATAAACATGAAACTAAAACTGGTGGAACTCAGTATTTGTGTCTCAATTGATTAGTTAATGTTTATGGACTGCCTACTTTAAAGCCTGGTTGGCATACAATAAAGGTTCAAGAAACATTCTTGTAAATACTAGTTATTTAATTATTGAAAACCAGTTATGTTTATTTTTATCTTGAGAACATCAACATTATTAAATATTTGACTTTTATTTATTACCTATTTTGGCCAGTTAGCTACATACATAATTCTTACAGAGGATGTAAACATTATCTTTCATATAGTGTATGAACTTTGAAAGGAGTGTAATTTTGAAGAGTTGAGACAACTCAGAGAAAGCTAAAAAAAGGAGGGAAATAGCTTGAATGGTGGAAAGGAGCTAACAATGGAAGATAATGTCAGAAGGGTATTCCAGGCAGAGCCCAGTAAAGCAGTCTTAGAGTTATCGGCATATATATTCTGATATGGTAAAATTCTGTGAAAAGAGTGTAGGATATAGTTGTAGCAATAGTTGACATGAGATAAAAGAAAGAAAATGTAAAAAAAAAAAAAAGATATCATGGATCAGTTAAAGAATGTAGACTTCATCTTGACACAGAAATGACTCCCCTAAAACCAAGAAAGTAGAAGATTGCATTGATATGAAAATAACTTTGGCAGCAGGATAGATCATGGATAATAAGGGTAGGAATTGAATTTTTACAGTAGTATTTCTAAGAACCTGAACAAGAAAAATAAAGAAACTGAAGTAAGCATGGATATAATGGTAACATTTCAAAGGAAAAAAAAATACTACAAAGTAGAAATAAGGTACAAGTGGGGAGAAAAAAAGCATAAATATTTACAATAACAAAAATTTATTACAGCCATGTGCTTTCATTGTTCTAGGGGATTTCCATAGTGTTAATTCATTTATTGTCATAAACTATGGGTTAAGAGCTATTAAGTTACCCACAAGTATGGAAACTGAGGCATGGATATGATTCTCTAGTTCCTAGCTTAAGTGACAATGCCATTGGTTTAGAAGAATAGAGGAGAAATAACTCATGTTCACAGGAAAATATATAAGTTATATGCATGATTAGAAGTCAACTGTGGAGCAATTCTTCTAGTCTCCATCTTCCCTCATAGCTTTCACTTTCATAGGAGAAATACCATACCTTCTTCATTATGTATTGATAGTGAACTGAAGGAAGGTTATAATCTCTCCCAACATAGAAATTAAAGTTTCTGCTTTTTACAATATTACTTCGTTGAAATAGATATGACTTTACTATTCCATAAACTTATGACCTTTTTATCAGGTTACTGTTTTGTAACTTACAAAACGTTTTTGTCAGTAACAACACTCTTCTTTCGATAGTACTTTGAATATTCTGCTCAGCATGAAATCCGGCATAACATCCAGAAAGAATTGTGTCTTCATGCTGCTCAAGGACCTGTTCAGCTGAAGGCATGCACCTACAAAGGTCACAAGACAGTTGCTGTTGGAGAGCAGATATGGGTGATCCAGAAGGTACTTCAATGCAGTTAACATATCCATTTATGTAATTGCTTGTTTAGCTCTAATTGTTTATCTGAGGGAGACTTGGTGGCACAAATGTGTGAGCACTTGGCTGCAGCCTAAGGTAGGCAGTTCCAACTTACCCAGTGGCTTTGTGAAAGAAAGGCTTGGTGATCTGCTGCTATCACTCAGCAATTGCTTTTGAGTTGGATCCAACTCATAGCTGACCCTCCAGCAGGTTTTCAGATACTCTGATGGTCTAGTGGTAAGAAGCTGCACTGTAATCCTTAAGGTTCACAGTTTGAATCCACCATTTGCTGTGTTGGAGAAGAATACAGGCAGTCTTCTTCCTTGTAATTTACTGCCTTTGAAAATCCACTGGATCTTCAGCTGAGTGTGTTTTGACTGGTTCCAACTTGACGGCACACAACACCAAATTGCACACAAAAGAAATTGTCTGTCTTTTCCTTTTGCAAAGAAGTCAGTGGATTCAAACCATCTGAGAGGCTTGGCCTCTCAACTGACATTGTAGCTGTCTAGGAGCTATGCCATATTCTCTAAGAATACGGGGTAGTTCTGCTGTGTCACATGGGTCCCTACGAGTGAGGATTGACTCTGACTGTGCCCCACAGTGGTAAAATGGGTTATCAGGGGAAAATATGTGACATGTAGTACATGAATACTACGTATCAAAATAATAAATAATGCACCTATCCGTGTGTGGGTGTGTATGTATGAATGTGCCTGCTTTCTAAAATATGAGTTAAATACACTGAGGATCAAAGTAGTTGGTTGATGTCCAATCTATTCAGATCAAAATTAATGTCTCTTTTTAGTAATAGCCTTTTTTTTTTTTACTTTTGAAAATTTTTACATTCTTCTTACAAAGGTTGCATAGAATTTTTGTCCAAGAGGAAAAAAATTATCACCTAAATTGATTACTAGTAGCCATAGTGGCACAGTGAGTTATGCATGAGGCTGCTAACTGGAAGATTGGCAGTTCATGTTGTTGTTATGTGCCATCGAGTCACTTGGGACTCATAGCGACCCTATGTACAACAGCCCTAAACTCTGCTCTGTCCTGTGCCAATAGCACTGTCTCTGACACTCCCATCCCGATTATCCCAGTCACTGAATCAATCCACTGTCTCTGACACTCCCATCCCAATTACCCCAGTCACTGAATCAATCCACCTCATAGAGGGTCTTCCCTTCCTGCACTGTCCCTCCACCCTCCCAAGCATGATGTTCCTCTCCAAGGACCCGTCCTCCTTACAACATGTCCAAAGTATGTTAGACGGAGTCTCAGAATCCTTGCCTCCAGGGAGTCGCCGGTTTAACCCTTTCCAGGATTAATCTGTTTCTTTTCTTAGCAGTCCATGGTACTCTCAATACTCTTCTCCAGCACCACAGCTCAAAGGCATCAATTCTCCTTTTATCCTCCCTAGTCATTGTCCAACTCTATGATGCATAGCAAGTGATTGCAAAGACCATGGCATGTATCAGACACACCTTAGTCTCCAGAGTGACACCATTGCTTGTCAGTACTTTGGAGAGGTTCCTAACAGCAGACTTTCCCATCACAATATGTTTTTTTTATTTCCTGGCTGCTGGTGCCAAGAGTGTTGACCGTGGAGCCAAGCAGACTATGTTAATCATCTCAATCTCTTCACCTTCCATCCTGATGTTGCCAATTGGTCCATTGGTGAAAATCTTTGTCTTCTTTACACTGAGCCTCAATCCATACCAAAGGCTGCAGTCCTTGACCCTCTGCAGCAAACCATTTCAGGTCCTCCTCAGTTTCAGCAAGCAGGGTTGTGTTATCTGCATAATGCAGATTGTTAATAGATCTTCCACCAATCCTGACGCCACACTTCTCCTCACAGAGCCCAGCCTTTTGGATAGTCTGCTCTGCATACAGGTTGAAAAGGTATGGAGATAGGACACATCCCTGGAATACACCCTTCCCAATTTTGAACCATGCAGGGTTTCCTTGCTCTGTTCTGGGATTCCTATTCTTCTCAGAGTCAGCCACAGTTTGTTATGATCCACACAAACACCTTTGCATAATCAATAATAAGTTCTACCACCTATTCTGTGAAAGATGAAGCTGTCTGTGTCTGCAAATATTTACATCCTCTATCTCATAGACTGCCAAAACAACAAACAGATATGTCTTGGAGAAAGTGTAACAAGGGTGCCCCTTGGAGGCAAGGGTGGTAAACCTTCATATAACATACTTCACATATGATGTTGCAGGAAACAGACATCATGCTTGCAAAGGTAGAGGGTTAGCATAAGAGAGAAAGACACTCAACAAGATGGACTGACACAATGGGTTCAAAGTATATCAGAGATGATGCGAGTGGCACAGGATAGGGCAGAATTCAGATCCATTGCACAAAGGGTCTCTATGACTCCTAGTCAGCTTGACGGGATATAATAACAACGTAAGGTCACTATAAATCACTTGGTGGCAGTGGGTTTAGTTTTTTTAAAGGAATTCTTTCTTTTTCTGTTTTAGTACTTTTTACAGAATCTAGAATTTAGAGAAACTAAATGCAAGATCTCTTTTTAAACATATATTTTAATGACTATTGGAGCCTGAAAATTGTTTTGTGTAACTAGAGCACCATAAAGACTTCTTTTCATCAGTTATATATTTTTAAGAACTTTACATTTTCAGATACATTGTTTAAATAGCTCTTGTTTGAAAAGCTTATTCATAACTATCTACTCTGTTTATGTAATAGCTTGTATGAATTCAATGGTAATGATATAAATGGTGTGGATTAAATCAGAAACCAAGACTCTACCATAATGGATGTTTGAGAGATTTAAAGTTAGGAATGATAAACATTTTATTATGCAAGTGATATTTTAGCTTTCATTAGATCGTAACATATTAACTATGAGTATTGAAGCTTAATATTTTTTTTTTCTTCTAGGATCAACTCCTGTATAATTCATTCCTTAAAATGTGCCTTTCAGCAAATGGAGAGCATCCCAGCTTAGTGTCATGCAATCCATCAGACCCACTCCAAAAATGGATTTTTAGCCAAAATGATTAAGTGTTCCTTAAAATTAAGGACTTGAAAAAGGAGGTATTCTTTCTTAAAAAACTGTGACTAGGCATACACTGTAGTTTATGAAAATTATGCAAAAGCAGCTAATTGTAACTTATTCCAAGTGCATTTCTCTTATTTATATCTTAATATGTCTACATAGCACTGCTACAGAAATCCTTTAAGATTCTGTTTCAAAGCACAATAATTAGTAATACCAAAGACTATTTTCTAAATGTCCGGGTGTAGAAGAAGCAATGTTTACAGTATCAGGAAAAGAATTTGCGAAGTAAAGTGATGTTTGTGTGTTTTGTATACTTAAGAATATGCATAGCTATGTTTAAACACTCACAATTTAAAATACTCCTTCCAGTTTTTTTGGAGGAGAAAGATTTGATACTGTATTTTTTTAATTACATAGAAATATATCAGTGAAGGTCAAACTTTGACCTCTGTGCAAAATCCAGAAAATTTTTATAAATCTAGAATTTATTATTTAAAAATATTGATGAAATATTTTACCTTATGTTTAACTTTCTGTCAAGTGTTTACTTACACATGAAATAAGAAGAATGCTATCTTACCTCTTCAATTTCATGGAAAAATTAACCTTTTTTTTTTCTAAAGCCCAGTCCATTTGAAGCACTTAGATATTCCTTAAATGACTTTTCTCAAATAACTATGATCTGTGTTTCTAAAACAATTTTTTAAAAGCTTTATAAATTACTATCTATTGAAAAGGAGATTTTTCTCTTTCCTTCCATTATTTTTCCCCTTACTATAACTTACCAATCTTGAATGTTTGTAAAAGTAAATTTGAATGCAGAATACTTGACTCATTCAAAGCTAAATTTCATTTTATTGATTAATTTATAGGTGGTTTTTGTAAATTTTTTTTCATCTAAAAAAGCCTTATTTGTATCTATGTGGAAATACAATGAAATATTGTAATGTAATTCTAAAACTTGATTTAGGGGTTACGGGATTTTTTTTCTCTTTTAGAGAAATGTTGAAAACTGGTAAAAGAAACAGGAATTTTTTAATATAATGAATTTCTAAGCACCTCTTGTTTATAGAGCCATGAGATATTTCTTCACAAAAATATTTGATAGTAATAGCCTTAAAAATGAGGAAGAGAAGATTCTATATTAGGTATTTAAAGATTTTATACTAGGGTATAATAACTTCCTTGGACACCTGATAGAGTAATTTAAAAACAAGCACAGTGCTTATGATATGGAGGAGATCTAATATTCTTTATTTTTCATCAGTTTATATAAAAATTTCTTATATTCTCATCCCAGAAGTAGAAATATTATTGACTTTGTATTTCAAACCCGGCAGACCCTCAAGTTAACAACAAAAAAGAATCTAATTCGGTTTTTTCTTTATGTCCTTATCTTCTCTTTCTTTGTAACTTTAGACTTGAATTTAAAAATTTGCCACCTTTAATTGATTATTATACCAACTTTTATTTCAATTTAATTTTACTTAACACTATGTGCTCAACTTTGGGTCAAAAGTAAGACCTTGCCCTTGAACATGTATTTCATGGATAAAAAAAGTTAATTTTGAAATAATATCTATAATGTAACTATTATGAAGTTGTTTTTTATGGTATGGTTGACAGCTCACATTCACAGTTACTATTTCTTTGAAGATATTTCTCTAGGACTAGAGGTAATAATAATATGTATTATGAAATATGCCCTATGTCCATTTACATGTACAATTTTCTGTTTCTCTCAATTTGTTACTCTAAACATGAATGTCCGAAACAAATATTGATTTTACAAATTGTTATATCTCTTAAAAAATAGTCCTCAAAGATATTTTATAAGTGAACTTAAGTAAAGCATGTTTTCAAAAAAGAAAACCTCTGAGTGTTCTGTTTATTACTCCTATCATGATATAACCAAAATCTATCTAGATTAGGTTGATTATATTATGTCCTGGTTGTACACATTCAAATGAAATACCATTTGTACATGATATGGAAGGTTTAGGCCATTGCTAAAGTGGTGTACAAATAATTTCATGATAAATTGGCTCTTTTGGGTAGATAATATCTTTGAATGATCTGAAAGTTGGAACAATGCCAACAGGGAGATATTTATGGAGCCTGGGTGCCACCTACATGACAAATCTGCATGCATTTAAGTGTGAAATGTTTTGCTCTTTTTAAAAGAAAATCTAGTGGTCCAGTGATTAAGTATTATGAGCACGAACTGGAAGATTAACTGTTCAAATATGCAAACTACTCCACTGGAAAAAGATGAGATAATGTTGAAAACTATGAAACAGTTCTACGCTTTCCTAAAAGGTCACTAGGAGTGAAAATGAGCTCTTGACGATAAAGGGTTTTGCTTATCTGCTGTAGTAAATGTCTAGTTAATGCACAAATACTGGCATTCACCTTCACTGTAGAGTCTTAAGGATTACACACTGGTTGACCTCACTGTCTTAAGATGTTAGGATCACTTGATGAGCAGGCTCATTGAAGAAAAGAGCTGATCAGATAATTAACGACTGGAGAAAATACTACAAAACTGACTACTACTATAAGCAGTGATGATGAACATTTGCTAAGTCTGTATTACCAGAGAAATAACCTTACTGATGATGTACAATTTAATTAAACACCATGTTGTTGTTGTTGTTATGTGCCATGGAGTCGTTTGCAACTCATAGTGACCCCATGTAAAACAGCCCTAAACCCTGCTCTATCCTGTGCCAATCGCATTGCCTCTGACACACCCATCCCGATTACCCCAGTCACTGAATCAGTCTACCTCATAGAGGGTCTTCCCCTCCTGCGCTGTCCCTCCACCCTCCCAAGCATGATGTCCCTCTCCAACGACCTGTCTCTCCTCACAACATGTCCAGAGTATGTCAGATGAAGCCCCAGAATCCTTGCCTCCAAGGAGTAGCCTGATTTAACCCTCTCCAGGATGAATGTTTGTTTTCTTGGCAGTCCAGGGTACATTCAGTACTCTTATCCAGCATCACAGCTCAAAGGCAGCAATTCTTCTATCCTCCCTAGTCATTGTCCAACACTCTGATGCATAACAAGGGATTGCCAAGACCATGGCCTGTATCAGGTGCACCTTAGTCTCCAAAGAGACACCGTTGCTCTTGAGTACTTTAGAGAGGTCCCTAACAGCAGACTTTCCCATTTCAATACGTTTTTTTTATTTCCTGGCTACTGCTGCCAAGAGTTGACCATGGGGCCAAGCAAACTGAAGCTGTGTACAATCTCAATCTCTTCGCCATCCATCCTGATGCTACCAATTGGTCCAGTGGTGAGAATCTTTGTCAAGTGGTGAGAATCATGCAAGTGCATGAGGTCCTCCTCTGTTTCGGCAAGCAGGGTTGTGTCATCTGCATAACGCAGATTGTTAATAGATCTTCCACCAATCCTGATGCCACACTTCTCCTCATAGAGCCCAGCCTCTCAGATAATCTGCTCTGCATACAGGTTGAAAAGGTGTGGAGATAGGACACATCCCTGATGTACACCCTTCCCAATTTTGAACCATGAGGGGCTACCCTGCTCAATTCTGATGACTGCCTCTTGGTCCAAGTATAGGTTTTGCATTAGCATGATTAAATGTTCTGGGATTCCCATTCTTCTCAGAGTCAGCCACAGTTTGTTATGATCCGCACAGTTAAACACCTTTGCATAATCAATGAAACACAGACATTCTTCTGGTATTCCCTGCTTTCAGCTAAGATCCATCTAACATCAGCTACAATATCCCTAGTACCACGACCCCTTCTAAACCCAGCCTGGACTTCTGGCAGTTCTCTGCTGATGTGCTGTTCCAGTCGGTTTTGGATAATCTTCAGTAGAATCTTGCTTGCATGTGAAATCAATGATATTGTTCTTTAGTTTCCGCACTCAGTTGGGTCACCCTTCTTTGGAATGGGAACAAATATAGACCTCTTCCAGTCAGTTGGCCAAGTGGTTGTTCTCCAGATTTCTTGGCACAACTTGGTGAGCACATCCAGGGCAGCATCTGTTAGCTGAAATACGTCAATTGGTATACCATCTATTCCTGGGGCCTTATTTTTTGCTATTTCCTTCAAAGCAGCTTGAACTTCTTCCTTCATCACCATGGGCTCTTGCTCAAATGTTATTTCATTAAATTCTTCTGTATCTGCATTGGCCAAAAATAAGACCTCAGGGATTGATGGAATATCAAATGACATGTACCAACAAACAGCTGCCACCTTGGATGTGCTCACTAGTCTATGTTAAGAAATTTGGAAGACAGGATACCTGGCCAGTTGGCTGAAAGAGATCCATATTTGTTCCCATTCCCAAAAAAACTACTGAACAATATCATTTATATCACATACATGTAAAATGTTGCTGAAGATTATTTTCAATCACTGGGAAAGTACATCAGTAGGGAACTGCCAGAAATTCAAACGGAATTCAGAAGAGCCCATGAAACCAGAAATATGTTTGCTGATTTCAAATGGATCTTGACTGAAACCAGAGAATATCAGAAAGGTTTCTGTATTTTATTGACTATGTAATGGGTTTTGACTGTGTAGCTTTTAACAAATTATGACTAACAGAAAATAATGGGAATCTCAGAGCACTTAACTGTACTTATATGAAACCTAGACATACATCAAGGAACTCTTGACCGAATAGAACAAGGGAACACTGTATGGCTCAAAATTAGGAAAGGTGTGCAACAGGGTTATGTCCATTCTACATATCTCTTCAATCTCTATGGCATCAAGATTGTGTTATGCAGATTTTATAACTTTGCTTGTCAAAAGTAAAGAGAACTTGAAGCATTTGCTGCAGGAAAAAACCCAAAAAAATCCTTGCTGGTAGACCAAGAGACAACATCTTCATGATAGATGGAGGAAAGATTGAAGTTGTCAGCTATCTCATTTTACTTGGATCCACAGTCAACACCAATTGTAACAGCAGTTAAGAAAGGGGAAAAAATGTATTGCACTGGGAAAATCAGCTGTCACAGACCTTCCAAAGTGCTGAAGAGCAAGGATGTTAGTTTCAAGACTAAGGTGTACCTGATCCAAGCCATGGGCTCCTGTTCTTTCCATCTAAAAGTTGGACAATGAATAAGGAAGACTAAAGCTTTTGAATTGTCTTTGCAAAATGTACATGGAGTGTTCCAAAAGAACAAAACATCTTTTGGAGGCAATACAAGTAGGGTGCTCTTAGAGGCAAGGAAGATGAAGCAAGGTCTCACATGCTTAAAGCAAGTTGCCAGGAAGGGCCAGTCCTTGGAAAAAGTTTTCCAGTTTTGGAAATATGGGGGTTAAAGAGCAGAAGACCTTCAGGAAGATGAATTGACACAATACTTATCCAGTGGTGAGGATGGTGCCGAGTGAGGCAAGATTCAGACCAGTATTTCATAAGGTTGCTGTGAGTTGCAGTTGACTTGATGGCACCTACCAATAATTCTAAAGTCTTTTTCCAAATAACCACCTATCAGGCTGCTTGAAGAAATGAGTTTTGCATCTACACTATGTCACAATTCCTCTCTAGTTTTCTACATTTGTCGTTGTTGTTATTATGTGCTATCTATTGAGTCACTTGCAGCTCATAGTGACCCCATGCACAAGAGCCCTAAACGCCCTTCTATCCTGTGCCAGCCTAGCCATCTCAAACACTCATTCCCACCACTCCACTCACGGAATCGATCCATCTTATGAGGGTCTTCCTCTCCTTCACCGTCCCTCCACTCTCCCAAACTTGATGTCCCTCTCCAAGGACCAGTTCCTCCTTGCAATATGCCCAAAGTATGTCAGACAAAACTTCAGAATCCTTGACTCCAAGGAGCATTCTGGCTTCACCCTCTCCAGGAAAAACTTGTTTGTTCTAGCAGTCCCTGGTATATTTAGCACTCTTCTCCAGCACCACAGCTTTAGGAAGTATCTTTTGTGTTTTAGGGATTA